GTAAGGATATCGCCAAAATAATTCCACACACGGCAATGAATTTGTCCAAATTTTCCAAAAATATTAACTGCGACTCCGTCGTGTTCGTAACATTCCTAATTTTACTATTATACAATGCCTCATAGAACCAAGCGTTCCAAAGCAGTTTTATTCCAGAAGTTTGTAAAGCTGTGTAAATTTTATACGCTTCCGCATAAAATGGTGCATACGTATGAGAATAGTACGTGAGTCGTTGATCCGAGAGAAATATGTCACACTTATCATTATTCCGTCGATTTAACCATCTATATATTTGAATATTGGATTGCTGGTAGTAGCCAAAAATTCCGACCGGTTTACTTATCATCTCATTCTCTATCTCTTCATCTGTAAAATTTTTCACGTAAATGATTTGAAATTTAGAATTGTACTTAGATTCGATATCATACTTTTTAAACTCGAATTTCATAATGCCTTCTATAGGAAAATGGCTGGCGGAGTAGTGAACAATTTTGGAATAAGAATTAAGGAAATCCCGAACATTATAATATTTTTCAAGTTTAGATGGCGCAATGGCATTTCCCGTTATTAAAGTTTCATACGCGGTGGGGATAATTGTCCAAAGTAGTGCGATTAATCCAACAACAGGTGGTAGTTCTTTGACAGGTTGACGGAGTAGATACGCAAAAATTACGTATATTTGTAACCAGACTTTTTTCATCTTCAGTTCTCCCTTTGTCAGAATCAGCGCCACTGCAACGATTGAGGCGGACAGTACGAACCATACCGTGTAGTTAAACGGTGTTAGCGAAACAATCCAAGTTAGAGGAAAGATTGTACGCTTACTACAGTATTCAACCGCTGGAATTGCTTCTGTCGCAATGGATATGAACATAATGTCAATAAGGTTCACCTCATTGACAATTAAGAGGCGCGGCAATATTTTTGGTAGCTCGACATCACTCTGGTCACCATGTAACCGGCACAATACTCAAATTTAAGGTAGATGACAACATTTCAACCTCATAGCTGCTATCCTCACAGTCGGACGTTGGAGTGTTACGAAGGTGAATATTTTTTAAACAATTTCCTGGCCACGGAGTATCTAGTAGAGGGACGGATCCAAGATTATAGTTGTATTTGGGATAGTGGAATTTTGTAAAGTAGAAATCTTTTCGAATCAATTGTTGGATTGAATACTGAGCAGCTGACCCAGAATCGAAGTAAGATAGCGAATTGTTCCAACCAACTATAATAAATTTGCATGGGAACTCGTACCACATTTTTTGATACCAATCAATATGTTTTTTTATCCAAAAGAGGAAATGAACATTGTTGTATCGTCCAAAGTAGAAGTTAAAGAGGTAGAAATCTTGCCAATCGTGATACTGGTGTTGCGTGAAATTGGGAGGCTGTTGGATATGGATGGCGATGCAGGGAGGGGAGAATTTTGGAATTTTAGGTGAAATTGCCACCTCTGGCCAGATCATGGAAAGTGTGGACTTCTTGTAGGGTCCGAGTTCGTTAAATTTTGACCAGGTGAAAATTAGTGAATTATAATATTGACCGGAGGTATGGAACGAATGAATATCTTCCGAAGTAGATTCGTCACGATGAGTCCATTTGTGATAGAAGTGGCAATGCTGTACAATTTGTGAGGTGACGTGGGAATAAATCAATGAAAGGACGATTTGAAAGCTAACCAGTAACATTTCGATTTCTATACAAGTACGAGATTATAAGAGTTAGTTTTTAAGTGCACAATTAGTTTTGTTATGAGATTTTAATACACCTCTCAGAAATATGAAATATATTTATCATCGAAAATAGCTGGGAACCCGAATGTTGATAATGATTTCAGCGTTGTTTTATTTCAAGGTAGACAAATCTACGAGTAAGAAAAATACCATGGTCCGACCCTTAGCAGTGCACAGTGAGCAGGATAAGAGTTATAAGTAGCTTATATATTTACAATATATTCTGCCGAGGTAATCGTGTCGGTTTGTAATTGATTGTTTTTTGGCACGTGTCTATGTACAAGTGTGGAAAATAGATTATATATCTCGCGTATTATTTATGATCCCATTGCTTTTTAATCGTTTTTTAATCACTTAAGACTTGCCGTGTTGGTAGCCGACCTGAGAACAAAGTTATGTTAGAATTCGAAGGGAATTAATTTTGGTTTAACTTAAATAAGATTCCGCTAATGTACATAACGAATTAAGTACTTTCTAGTTTTTTTAATCTCCTAGTTTAATCTCGTGCTTAAGGCTGACATGAAATTGCTAATCTTGAGAAAATGCTAAAATTGGCACATGTAACTTATCCCCTGCTTAGCTTAGATGCTACTTACCTTATGAATATCTTAAGCTTTGTTAGACAACATTAGGAACAGTACATGAAGAAAATTTCCTACATTGGATTTGGATCTCCCATACATCAAAATGCGTGTATTGGAGTGTAGCACCAGAAGGAATAAAAAAGGTCTTTGTGGGATTTAATTTTATCATCCATCTGACCATGCGATGATTTCTTGAAACTACGATTAACTTCATCAGTTTAGAAGAGAAAAATTTACGCAGCAAATTTATCTGCGCCGACTTAATCAATTAATCTATCCATACCAGGAAATTCGCCATTGGCTAGTCGTAATAAAGAGTGTATTTTTATCTATAATGTTTTATTTGTTTCTAGAAGTTCCAAACATGCCTGTGCAGCTTCATTCATTTAAGCAAAATGAATGCTTCATTCACGATGAAGGGAAGAAGGTGAATTAATGAGAGTGAGAGAAATAAATTCCTTGATCAGATGAATGAAGGAGAATCAAGGGAAAATTAAGGAACTTAAAACAATAAGGAATGAGGGCGAGTGAGTGGCTTCAAGTAATTGAAAAGTTTAATTTACATATGTATATCACATGTAAGTTGTGAAGATATACTAGAAATTGGCAATGTTTGGGGCCTCGCGATGCCGTAATTTTTATGTCTTCTGGCGCACTTCCAGACATCTTGAATTCTCGAGAGTGCAAGATTTTTGCTGGTAGGGTGACATTGTTCCAGTCAATGTCGACGTTCGGTCCATCTATTATTATATCACAGGGAACAAATTCATCCAAGACGATGTCAAACACTGGGAAAATTTCGCTTCCCGAGGATGAACTAATGGAAAGTTGTAAGTAAAACCCGGTAAATAAGAAATGAAAAATTCTTGCGGTTATCATGGTGCCAGGCGTCTGTTATAAGATGGGAAAGCTACATAACTAATGTACATAATGTATGTTAATTATCTTATAATTCTACTAAAGAAGAGATCCTGTTCTTATACATGAATTAGTATACATGAATTTTTATTTGGACCTTCAACTAGCTTTGATCCGGATTGATTAAAACACTACATAACTCGCGACCTAAATAAATCCCAACTTGGATGTTCCTTGTTGGTATATACCAGTAAGCTGTTGGTGTTCAAATAAGAGACAGCTTGTTAAGTACCGAATTACTTTTCTCAAATCAATAAATAATTAAACGCTCAACAGTAGCAAACTGGTGAGTTTTGTTTATCGCCTCTACCTAAGGAAAATGAACGTCGACGTAACCCAAACCAAAGCCGTGGACAAAAATCTGCAGATTATTATATCAACCATCTTGGTTAGACAATCTAAATATTTGTTTCTGTCAAACTAGAAAGGTTGAATTGTACCTGGTGGGTTTTTATTTCATTAAATATTCAAAGGATTACGTACTGTATGTAGCTATATATGATCAACTGCTGCCTTTACACGTAAATAAATAATTACTTTTAAATTTGAACGCTGGAATGGATAAAATAATATTGGATAATATATAGGTAAAACAAAAGGAAATCTGGACTAATGAATTGTAAGCAGTAAGCCTAAAGTCAAACTTGCAAAATTAATTAGTAGAGCAGCAACTATTTAAATAATTTAACAACAACGGTTTAGATGAAGTCGAAAGCAGGCTAGCTTTTACCATCACTTATAAAATATAGAGACTTCGCGTGACCTTACCCAGCTTGGGAAGTTGAATATAAGACAATTAATATAATTATGTAGCATTGGTAAAAAAGTTGGAACAAGCATGGAATTGCAATTGTTGGTATTTATGAACAAGCATGATTTCGTCGTTTCAATTCACGAAAGGATTGAGGGTTTCAACTTGAATTGTCTCAATTTATAATTAACTTGCTCGTACGTTGGGCTTTATTCAAGTAGAGAAATAAATAACTAAATAAATATGTACCAGCCATATTGCATAAAGCACAGTAGTTCAGTTCCAAATTAATTAAGGATAGTTAAACCAGTGAAGTCAATTCTTCCCAGACGCTCCCTCCTCCGAGAGCCTACCTTCTCCCCTTCCACACTCCCTTATACTTCGTGGGTCATCGAAGGATACCTGTCGCCTTAGCCGACGGAAAGGCATTTCCAATACTATTGGACCAATAGTTGCCCATTGTGAGAGCAACTATGTAGGAGGATGAACACGTCGCCTCAGCCTTTGAAAATATTAAGTGAGAAATTAGCTGTAAATAAGATGCAAACAATTGACCTCGCACTGAAAGTAGTTTCAATTGTTTGCGAAGTTCTTCCCCAATGTATTTCCAACCAGTTGGAATTTATTCTGGCCTCGACTTCTTCCTAAATATATAGCACTTTGTCCACTATGGGTCCTGAAGAAGATTGTACGCGATATAAATTATAACTGAAATTTTAAAAATGCAGGAAATATTCATATTGTCGAAAATTGTATGTGGGCACACAAGTTGCTAATTTGGTGCACCTACTGTTCACTAAAAAATTGAGTAATTTCCAAGGGCCTGAGCTGAACGCTAATTTTTTATTGATTGCAAATGAACACCATTTCCGCAACGACACACTTTAATGAACAATTCTCCATAATATGTTTATGTTATAAAACTGTGTGTTGCCGAAGAACAAGATATGATTTAGAGTATTTGGTGTTCCTTTTCATGACAATTAAAGCATGTCGAGATGAAATCAGGTATATTTTTATTTGGAATTTTCACCATTTGTATACTATTTTCAAAGATATATCAAAAACATTTATATTGGAATATGTTTATATATTAAAAGATTCTCAAATTAGTTGGAGTGAAATCGTCTTTGAGGCAAATTTCTAGAAAATTCAAGATGTCGAGAAGCAGGTTGGGGTGAGGAATCTTATTACTGGCATAATTTTTGAAATTGATATGGATTCCAAACTTGCGAATAGACTATTCCAGAACGTTTTTTATCAAGAATTGGGTGACATAATATTTTGATGCTCAAGGTCATCAAAATTGAAACCATCAATATCGAATGAGTGAAGGTTGTCCTTCATCAAATTGGTTTGTCCTATTATGGATTCCATCTCGCTGGAAGGCTGTGCTTCTAAAACTTCGGAAAAATCTGCCCACCAAAAATATTATGTAACGTTTAGAACGAAAAACTCAGTAAAACTAGATATAGTTACCAGTGAATACAATATTGGGTATGCCAGGGGACATTGTGGTAGTGGCTGAACCCGTGATATCATTCTATGTAGTTGGATAAGTTTTACATATTGTAGTAATAAGCGACTTCTTTTACAGCAATAAATAATTCCACATATTTCAGTATAAACCTTGACGAACCATTGATATCCGCTCCAAACTCTGTTGTACCTCATTTGTTCTTTGGTGGACGTAATAAAATTCTGGCGAATCCTGAATTTGTTGGTGTACGACTAAACTTGAAGGGATCGACAATTGACGCCCTAACGTTCTTGGATATTCGATCTATAGAATATATATATATATTCCTGAATACTGCATCAAATATTTAATAAAATAAAAAAAAGTTTGCATATACATTTGACAGAGGGGGATATGCTGCCATCATCTAGGATTAATATTTTTCTAAATCTCAATTCGAAATAATGGTAACAAACGATGTGATATTTGAATTGGTATTTATATACATATGTACATACTTGATTATCAGCAAACTGGGATGCTGGGTTAGTTGTATTTTCAAACCAGTGTTGCACCTGGGATTGACTATGAAGTTTTGTCAATTGTTGTTGTTGATGCTGATGTTGAGCCTGGAGGAATAGGTCGTACACATGGTTTATATCTGGAGATGGGAGTTTTGGTGATCCACTAGTTTGAGAGTTGGTGAAAGAGGAAGGCCTCTAAATATACATTAGATTTGTAAAAGCCGTATAATCAACTGTACTTCATAAATAATACAAGCAGATACTTACGGTAGAGTATGATGGTGAGTTGTTATTTTCATGGTATGGAGGAAACTCTAATCTAAAATCGACGAGATGATCCAATGTTGTCGGAATTCTTGGTGTAGTTTGGAAGGGAAAATTATTCTGCATCGTTTTATTGCTAGGAATTATTGTACAGAAATCATTTCGAAAATTAGCTTGCCCTTCAAAACCAGAACGATAGTAATGGTTTTCATTGTAGTTATTGATTAATTCATTGCTGGCGTGCGGAGGGATCCCGGGTTCTGTAACTGAACTGGAGCTATGAAGAGCAGAATCTGACTTGGTGCGTGCTAATGAAGGATGACGTGGAGGTGATAAACTATTGCATGAATTTTTAGTAATTCTGTTGGATCCACAGTAATATGGTGCGTGATCCCTTTTTATGGATCGCGAATTGCGTATAACGGGTCCAGTGTCACGACGAGACCCTATTTTACTACATCTCTCACCTGGTTCGGATAACAGGGAATGAATATTTGGCAAACTGCTGTAGTTAATATTGCGACTTGTGACTTGGAGCAGGTCTTCCTCCTCCAATTTCGGTGTTATTTGGCAGCCCGAGGTTCGTGGCGCTGTCTCTTTAATTTCCTTCATTATTTCTTCAAATGAAGCAGTATCCTAGACAAATGTAAAATATAAGAAGGAATGAAATTGTATTATTACACTCGATTTGATGTTCATACCTCAGCCTGCTTTTGATTAAGAAGTTTAATTTTGTCGCGGAATTTTCTTGGATTGTCATCCATTGTGATTATGTTTCTGATAAAATTATTATACTTAACGTATTTGAAATAAAATAATTTGTACAGGAAACGTACTTTATTTTGTTAATAGGTCAGTTCATAGTCGTGTAGTGAAAGTAAAATTTGTTGGACCATAATCGTGATGTGAATAAGGATTGCTACAGAATGATGAATACTTGGAAATTGTCAAGTAGTGTATCATATCAACTCGACATTTATCAGTTTTCTGATAAGCTCTGATAACAACATCCTATCATAACTCTCCAAGTGTGAAAGTATTCCCAACGTAATGATCGGTGATATGCATAGTTTAGTATATATTATACAATCTTGCGCAATTTGTGCACACCAAGGTCAACTGATCGCCAATTTGGTATCATAGATGCGCTCCTCCTCCGCAGTTACAAAGTTCTCCACATCATGGTGGGAATGGGGTGAACATTGAACTTCGTCACGGTGAGAGTGTTGATCTTCGTTAAAGTTTGAGGGGTGGTTATCCTCGTGTATAATTGGAGAGTATATGTCGAAAAATCCTCTCTCCTCCATGTCCAAAAATGGTTATAATGGGCGTAAGCATCGTCGAGCTGAGAGTGGCGATCCTCCTGGTCATTCTCCTGGGCGTAATTCTGCTCCCCAACCGGTCCGTCACCGTAAGTGCTGCACCAAGTCCTTTAGATCATCAACTCAGTGTGGGAGGAAAGGAAGGCTGCGTCGTAGTTTTTCCCCTTTTGGCTTCATGTCCGATCCGGCAGCTCGACGTATCTAAAAAAATACATAAAACACATTTGCCAATATAATAAATATGCTTGTATATAAAATATATGACCATGATCCTTCCCACAAATGACGTCGATATTTGCAAAATTCTATCATTCTGTCGAACGCTTGAAATTGAGCCCATAATTTTTGATTTCCTATTCGTTGAAGTTTACTTGAAGGAGACATATATATTAGTTTTGCAGTCAGCAATGTAACACTTTACAAACTTTAATCGTAGAAGTGGATTTTTCCTAGAAAATCGCAATTTAGGGATAAATTATTATTTCCCAATTTTTATGTCTCGCAAGAATATTATTTGTATCTTTTTATCATTATTTTGTCGTTGGCAACGACATGATCAGCATTTTTTGGCGTGGGCCAGTGGTAATTTCAATGAGATACTTTCGTGAGATTTTGACCACATCTCGAAAAGTGTATCGAGCCGCTCACCAGATTTGAAGACGAAGACTTGTTTGATTTTTCATAAAAAAATCTAAGAGCGGACCAAAACACTTTTCATGAAATAAATTGTCAAACTTGTGCATTTTTGGGCCTTGTACAATTGTAGCTATCTAAAACCCAAGGTGTTCTTTGCAATCTGTTACAATTTACTTCCTATGTAGTAAATTATATTATTTGTATTACTTAACTGTATTTAGCGTTGTGCAGTGTTTACGTCCATACCAGGTAATCGAACAATTTGATAGAGGATAAATAAACGTATTGATTAAACTCGGTTCGGGGTGAGGAAATGCCGTCATTTAATCATCATAAAAAATACATTGTACATATTACAATTTTATTCGGCAATATTTACATATTTAAATCTCTCTCTCAAATTCCTTTGCCTGGTTGACAAACCAAGCCACGGCCTCGTCAATGCTAACCACGCCATCCCTATTTGTGTCCGCTTCTTCTACAAACTTGTCAAAGTCCACCCTTGGGAAGTTTGGGTTATGAGTAAGTAAAGTTGAGAGGAGTGATTTAAATTCGGATTCGTCAATGAGTCCGTTTTTGTCCTTGTCGACAGCAAGGATGTGGATCTTCATGAGTTCCTCGGCGTCATCCACTGCTCCAAAGGAAGCCGCCATGAGGTCCTGGGTCATCATACCGTCGTGATGTTCACCAAAGTAGCGTGCGTATGCGTTGAACTGTTCCTCGGTGTAGATGAAGCCGATAGCTTGTTGGAAAGCTTCCGGGTCAGTGATGTTAATGGATTTGTGCTTTTTGTTATACGTGGGCATTTTCTGGTAGGCTGCTTCTACCTCGCACCTCTCGTACTTGCGGTTTTTAGCCATCTTGCATAATATTCTGGAGGGAGGTCAAATTTTTGGTTTTTGAAACTAATTTTTAGGTTTGAATTAGAAACAGTAATATGTATAAATTTTTTATGCATTTTATCAAATATTAAATTTTGTTTAATTACAATTATCAATATACATGTACTTTTGGCCGGCTAAATCGGAACACTTAACTGAACCAATAATTAGTTCTTCTTCATCTCACTGTTATTAGTCCCTATTTAGTTTAAATTTGGCAATGAATAAATGATCACAAATAGACGTAGACAAGTAGACAAGATTTAATTAGTACGTAGCGTCTTTTCTCATATCTTCTGTTTCGTGTTACTTGTGGAAACCAGTCATTTAATTGTACTGATCAAGGAATAACATGTAAATAAATGCCCAAACAAACATACAAACAAACAAGTGGACGTTATTTCAGCCAAGTAAGATCACATTTTCATAACATCACAGTTTATTAATTATTCGTCTACTACTGGAAAGAAAAATTTAGTTGTTCATACATTCCCTAATCTTGCTCAATTCTTGTCATGTTTTGCTAGTAATTGATGTTATGAATACATATATACAAAAAAAAACACATTCCCTTGCGAACGTGATGGATATTGGACATTAATCTGTGCAACATATTTACCTGTTATTACTCATCTTCCGTTGTTAAGAGGGTACGCTTATTTTCAATAGTAATTATCAGACCTGTTAAAGTTAAATATGATGTCTAATTAATAAATATTTATTATTAATATTTTCATCTCATTATAAAACCCATAATTAAATATTAATTACGTATTAAAACTAATCCTAAGCTCCATACTTCCATAATCTATCCCATTTCACGCCAATGTTTTTATCTCGGTAAACTTCCCACACGAAAGACAAAATCCCGAGAAATAAGAATATCGAACAAAACGCGAAAACAATTTCGACAGTTTCCAACCTGACCGCGTTTGCCTCTGCAAATACAATTTCAAACTTTAAATCTGCATTTAAGTTTGCAACCACGATCCGATATTCTCTCGAACCGTGACCTAGCACAGTTTCCGCATTTTTCCTATACTTCCTCAAATCTTCGAGCTTCTCCCATCTTCCGTAAATACCAGACTCTTCCAGCTGTGCCAGTGCCCTTGATATTATTGGAAACATCACATTTCTCCTTCCGACCCATATCGACCTAATAGTAAAGGGTAGGGCTTGCTGGTAACTTTTAACAAAAAGTGGCGGCCCAAGTGCCTTTAGCACCACCAACAAGGATTGCATTACTTTCACATCGTCGATAATTACAAAAATCGGTGAGGTCACCACACTTGACGTTTCGGTTGACAAGCCCTTCATTACTTGTGTGGCAACTCGAACAATGCCACCTTCTAAATGTGTCGCATTTTTTAGCCGCACCAACAACCCGCCGTCTTTCCAAACAGATTCCATCAAATCAACGATAATCACATCTTTAAACATGGAACCTCTCTCGTCAGGGGTTGACGTGAATATGGGAATTCCATGATCCAATATTTCCTTCAAAGAAGTCGGTACAGCTGGCGGATGTGTTGCCGTCATAAATGAAAAGAGAGCTCCCTGATAAAAGTTTGTCAAGAGAACGGCAACGAAATACCAAATGGGAATAAAATATCCCAAATTTTTAAGATTACTTTTCACTTCGGATTCTTCGTTTTGACCCAAAATAACGGAAATTGTCCAAAACAACTTCTTTTTCATATTTTCAATACTAAAATGTGACGCGGTAAGGATGACAACCGTCAGAAAAACCGTGGCCAAAGAGCAGGCCCATGTCGATGCGTCAAAAGGCATTAGAAACGTGTCCAAATTTCCCCAAGAAATGGGTCGTGTCACACTCGCAAAAGTATAAGAGTGGTGGACCTGCCCATAATTAAACCAGTAATGCCACGTCCCCCTCATATGGTGTATTACTTGACCGAAGGAGTGGAATTTTAGCAAAGGGTTTGACAACTGCACTATCCCCCTATTTGGAGAATCTCTCTCTGTCGTAAAATTGTGCTTCGCCGAAAAGGCTTCCAAGAGACAGTGGCTCTGCTCATGTTCGAACAAGTCAATTGTAGCGATGCATTTTTTTCTATTTTTTAAATCCCGCCCAAACTTTTTAATCGAGCCGAAGCCTTCGACATATTTCCCCTGTAAATTATACTCCAGATTCCGCAGCAATGATTGTGTCGTTGCCACACCGTCAGGAAATTCTGAGAGGGGGATTGCACGTTGAGAAGGATTGCAAAAGCGACAGATTGCATATAATTTGGATTCCGTTGAGAAGAAAAATGTGGACGTTATTTCACTCCTATGTAGAAAATAAGTGTTGACCAACCCCAGATATTTGGAATCTAATCGAAATATGACGTAGTCCGGATTTTCCTTAGTGTAAGAAATCTTCTGTATTATTTTCCTACTCGTCATATGAATTCCATAAATGATCTTGGCGGTCGAGGTCAAGTTCATAGTAAGCAACTCGTCGTCAATAAAAATTATTACGATTCCTTTTAATATAAACCTTAGCGGAAATGGGAAAGATTGGCGAACCGCTTTTAAATGTTTACTTGAATTAAAAGGCTCCAAGATAATAGGGCTACATGGGTTGCTTTTATGGTATTCATGCAACCCAATTTCCAATCTATGTTTACAAATGAAATTAGATATGAAGTGTAATGTTCCTCCATTTATGTGGAAATTATATATTGAAGATGATCTGCTGAGGGAAAGTATCCACGCAAAATGCAAAACTAGAATTCTGCCCAGCATGGAAACCGTGGAGGATCCGTGTAAATATTTATTTGCAAAGTGTTAAAGGATGAAACCGCAAATTCAGACTGAAGGTCTTTATACATAGTAACGATTCAGTGTTCAGATATGTCGAAATGTAGATACGTTTATTTTGTGCAAGTTCCAAATATTTCGATACCCTATCTAAATATCTATTTATAGACCTTACCAAGGCATTTGATAAAATAAATTTATAATAGAAACTATTTACTTATTTACAACTTCAAATTCTTTTGTTAAGAACGATCTTACAAATTCCGAACAAATTCAAACCTATAATTTTTTGTATTTGTTGAA